AGCCAACAAACCATAACAAATAAATTATTTTATTTTATTATTTGATATACAATGTTTAAATTATATTTTATATATTAGCACAACTATTATTGATGAAGTTCCACTTTGTGCCGTTTTAAGCTGCTTTTTCTAATGAAATATTTGTTACAAATATTACACTTAAACTCTTTTGTTTTGCCACAATCATAGTGTAAATGAAGGGTTAGACTTTTTTTGTTCTTGTACAATTTTTCACAATTTGGACATTGAAGTCTTGGACCTAAAACATAAAATGTATTAATATTTATTTAGAGACTTAGTTTTAAAAGGTTTTCTTTTTTTATTTTATATTATGCTTTCCATTTTTACGTTTTACAATTATTTTAGATTTTTTCATGAAACTAATTTACAAAGTAAAACCAAATAATAAGTAAACAGATATGTTCCACATTTTGTGCTTATTATTAGAAATTATAGTATATTCTGTAACAAGTTTGAAATACGGCCTATTCCGCTTGAGTGAAAAGTTTGTCACACGAGCCGAAGGCTAATATGACGGTTTCACGAGAGCGAAATATGCAATTCCAAATGTTTTCAGACTATAGATACGTTTCCAAAAAATACCGTAGAGATGGCACCACCAGTGTTTATTCCGTCATCGGATGATAGAATAGTTCATTCTGTAACAGTTTAAGGAATATATGTAATTTAAAGTGACCAGATTTTGTCAAAAAATAGGGGGACATTTTGTGTAAATTAACCATAATTACAAAAATGACATAATCAACAATAATTAAGTAACGTAAAATTTACAATTTGCATTGTATCAATTTTGTAATTAAGGGAAATTCATACAAAATGTCCCACTATTTTTAGACAGAATCTAGCAGTGGAAAAATATTTTTTTTGAACAATGACTATTACAATTTTTTTCAACAATATTGACTAAACTTTTTTCCCAAGCTACTGCTACGAGCGCCAGAGAACAACTAAAGTTTTAAGGAATGTTGCACAATTTTTGCTTATAATTAGCAATACATAATTTTTATTACACAATATTGGCTATGTAAATTGTAGAGTAATCAATTCTCTACAAATTTGTTACTGACCTTTTTATCGAGAAATGCAAAATACTTGCGCAAATCGAAAACATGGGGACGGTTCCCATAATTTATTAATGAACATTTATAATATATTCATATATTATACTCCGCGGATGACACTTAAGAAGGTTCGAGCAGTACATTGAGGGGAAGGGGGCAAAAACAAAATTTACTTTGTCATTTTAATTCATTGGAAAAACAGCCAATTTTCTAACTGATTTTATAATTATTTTTTATTTTTAAACAAAAGGCACTATATATTGTAACAGAGAAACGTGAAAATAGGTTTTTTCTACGACCACTATGTAAAAGTCACATTTCATATTGGCATCAATGATTAGAAAATTAATCTTTTCATTGGAAAGGCAAAACATGAATGTAAAGTGACAGGTCTGTGTGAAAAGAAATTGACAGCATCGTTTGACATTTGTTTCAAATTTTGTATTGTATTTGTATATGTATGTCTAAATATCATTTAGAACAAAATTAATTGTGTTTGTATAATAAATTCTAGTTTTTAGTGCCTTTATTTAAATTGAGAAGGTAAGTTTACTGATTTTAAGTAACTTATACCTTAAAAATTAAAAGAATAAGATGACAGAATTTTAACAGCTGTCAAACACGTTTTTCTTACTACCTCGACTGAAAATACGTTGTTTCGTCCCCGATTCCACGGCATTTACGTTTGATGCATTAGTCAAGCGCACCCTCTATAATAGCGGGAGTAAAAATTTTTTAGTCGTGTGCACTAGTACTCAACATATGCAACTCTGATTACGACACTAATATAACCTCAAAATTTGTTTTCAATTAATTAATTAACTAATTGTTAATATTAAATATTATTTAAGACTAATAGTGAATAGTGAGTTTTCAGTCGAGGTAATAGGAAAAATAGTATACACTACACGGGCAGAAAGTGTGAGAGCCGTGAGGAATCTCACACTTTCTGCCCTTGTAGTGTAATATACTATTTTATTTGAATATAATAAAAAATAAAAGGGTCGGAGATTAAATGCGACAACACTGCGAGTTGTTGATAGTTGGCTTCTATGGTAACGCTTTTTGCTTTTGACAGTTGCAGTGACATATCTTTGTGCAGTGTTATTTAAAATCTTAAAATGAGTGAAATCGGATTATTACGTTATGTGAAACGAATGAAGTCCACCACAAAAAAAAAATATTAAAAAAGGTATGGGAACCAAAAATAAAGCAACAGGTAAAACGATTGTCTAAATATTAAAAAAAAATTTATAATAAATAACAATACAATTATTGTGTTTTTTTAATAGGTAAAAACGAAATTGTGGTAGTTACTAAATAAATCAAATAATCACGTATTCGTAAACCAGTGTCGCTGGATCTTCTAGACGAAAATGACAAATTGATAATTTTGGTTGGACAAAGTCAACATTATTGTTTATTGTTGCGGTGGAAGTTAACAGTTTATATGGCACTTTACAGGCATAATCGCAAACGAGAAAAAAATTAATTAATTTTTCAATGACACGTTAGAAGATATGCTTATACTATTAGAATTGGCATATACATTTTTCAACTTAAACAACAAAGTTTAGCAATAATAAACGATAAAATCCCGTGTATTCTTAGCAACTTAGCAACAAACGGTCAATTTGTAAATGTCTTTTTTCTACGACCACTATGTAAAACTCACTTTTCATGATGGCATCGTTTCTTAGAAAATGAATCTTTTCATTGGCAAGGCAAAACACGAATGTAAAGTGACATCTCTGTATGAAAAGTGACAGGTCTGTGTGAAAAGAACCGGAAAGCATCGTTTGACATTCAGCTGTCAAGAAAGATTTTAGGTTATTTTGTTTTGTATTTAAAAATAATAAAAAATAAAAGGGTCGCAGAAAAAACATTGTGAACATTGAGAAAAGCTTTCTTCAAGCTCGTGTTAATGCACACTCGGCCTAACGGCCTCGTGGGCAACTTAAAAACTCGCATGAAAAAGTCGCTTTTCAACACTTGTAAAACAAACAACTATTAAGTAGACTCTACTAGAACCTACAATTTTTAAACATTTTCTCATAGCGATTAATATCGTGCACGAACCTTCTTAACTGCATCGTAAGTTTTACATTGGTCTTGTTTAGAAATCCTTTACAAGGACAAACCTGACCTATCTTTATTACGCTGGTTTTTTATAGATTGAGTACCTATTTAAAGTATCCTAAAAACAAGAAAAACATATTAATTAATTAAAATTTAATAAAAGACATACAATAACTCACCTACTTTTAAAATAAGGTTGTGGTGTGTGGTTGTGGCTGTGGATTGTTTAAGGATTAAGTAAAACAATTTTAACCTTTTATTTTTTTTATTAAAATACCTGTACCTACAAGCATAATATAGCAATAAAAATATATAAAACTGTTGTATCAAAAATATTTAAAAAGGAACTGTCTGCTATTACAATAATGGTTTAAATCACAATTAGTTCATTGAGTATTATTCGTTAATCGGGAATATTTTTGCGTCTTGTGTTATATAAAAATATATCCCAACACCTATATTTTTTTTGTAACTAAAATTATAATCCTACTTATATAATATACTATTTTATAATCTAAATAAAGCAAGCATCACCTTCTAAGCAAAAGCAAAATATTATAAATTTTTCACAAATTTTTCATAACTGAATTAAAATTTTATCCATATCCACTAGCCAATAATTTAATATATCTCATATAAGTAGCTAAAATACAAAGGATTTCCTCCCAAAACCATGTTTTTAAATTTTTATATTTTGTATTTTATATTTCATTTATAACGTAATAATGATAATAAACTTTAATTGTATTAGTAAAGGGATAAAACACAACTTGTTTTACCCCTAGAAATATACAAAAATGGTACAATATAAGAATTCATAAAAGCTTAAAATAGTAATAACTGTAAATAGGTAACTTGTTAAAATACCTAACAGGAACATACGTTAAGGCACTTATATATCAACGATTAACATTTAAATATATACTTGATAATAAAAAATGAAAAGCATATCTTAACATATTTAAAATATAATTATCTACCACTTTTGAAGACTAAAATTTATTGTAATGTATGTGAGTATAAGTGTCTTTTTATTTATCACAAAAGTTGGTACTAGAAAAACATTTAACTGTACTGTAAAATACTTTGACCGGTATAATATAGGAACGCAATATAACCTGCATAAAAAATGTATGTGGAACAGTCTTAATTAGTGTAAAAAAGTGGATAAAATATTGGCAGTATAAATATTGAGTATAACTGTTTTGTGAGTAAAATAGTAACTATATCTTGTAAAAATACTTATAATTAGTGGTGGTTAAACTAAATTGTATATTCTTTTGACTTTTTTTAAATATAAATATATTAATCTGTTATTGGTCCAATTTGTGTTTATTGTTATTTCTAATATTGTTTAAATGACATTAGTCCAATATTATTAGAATACTTTTTTGAAAACCTAATCCAATGTTTTTTGTTAATTTTATAAAATTTTATTTAATCCCCTGTTTTAAAATATCACATTTTAAATTTATCATGGTCCACAGACGAAATTTAAAACAAAACGTTGAACAATTTTTAAATGCTTAGCTGATATTAGGATTAACATCAACTTTTTATTTACAATCACCAAAAAAAAATATGTAGAATTCAGGGGTGGTTAATTAAATATATGCAATTGTCCTGTAACAGCTTTGTTTTAACAAGAATCAGAAACTACTCAGCATTAATCAGATTCTTAAGAAAGAGTTTGTAAATCGTTTCATATTACTTGTGGGACACCTGATTGGTTCTGGCTAATTCATAACTCTTGCTGAAACAAAATTAAAATTGCGAAAGTATAAAATTGGATTCAACATTTTAAAATGGTCAGGTGGAGAAATTGCAAAAACTTTTAAACTACATCGGTTGCATCGCCTGCGCTGGCGGTTCATTGTTTGCTTTATCAGCAATTATCGACTCAGATTTGATTTCGGTTTTGATCGCCGAATAATCGATCTCTCTGTGCATGCGCTCCATATGACGAGCCATGTGCATTTTTTGCTTGGCCTTGTAGGAGCAATAAGGACACTTGAATTGCGGCTCCTTTCCGCACTCCCACTTCTGATGGTTGCGCAAGGAGCTCTTCAACTTATAAACACGATCGCAGTCTGGACAAGCGAAGCTGGTTTCGATGTTTTGATAGTTTTTCTTGTTCATGTTTAAAATAGGAGTCAAAGTCAGGTCGGAGTTGGTGTGGTTTACTGATTGGATCATGGATTGTTTCATGTTTTCGCGCATTAACATCATGGGTAGGACTAAATGTGGGGGCCAGCGCTCCCATGGGCGCTTAACACGCAAATCTTGAGCTGAAAAGAAGGCTATTAGTATTTTTTTAATTACATATATAGGAAGAAAGTATGTACAAAAAGCCATAACCGGAAAAATTAAAATAAAAAAGTATATAAATTAAAATACCTAATTTATTAAAATAAAATACACGTTTTTGCCTAAAATAAAAAAAAACAATAAAAATATTTAATATTTACCTGCAACAAGGTTATGCACTTAATATAAACTATAAAAATCCCTTAAATTAAACCATTTATTTGTGTATAAAACAATAAATGAAATAAAGACTATGAAATGTTTAAAATTGATATAAAGATTGTCTAAATCGGTCAGAATTTAAACATTCTGTACACTTTTTTGGCACCCGATAGAGACAATTGCACAAAAGTTATTTTTTATATTAAACTAAAATTATTAAAGTTTAAAAGTAAAAAGTCAAGGTCAATACCAAGGTGTGAACACAATTCTGCGCGCGAAATATGTTTAAATTTAAAATTATAAAAACGCTGGGCCCCCTTTTTCGATCGGGTGCCAAATACGTATACGGAATGTTTAAATGCAATCGGCCAATGCAAACATTCCTACAATTAATTAGTATGTGTTTGCATATGCATTCTCAAAATATGTTTCCTCCAGTCCGACCTGTAGTAATATGCATGATCGCAATAGCCACACACAAATTTCTTCTCTTGTCCACATTCAACTTTTTGATGCCTTTGCAGATTTTTTATTAGAGTGTAGGATTTTAAACATGTAGGACATTGGTGACGATTACCTGAAAATACATATATTAATAAAAATGTTTACATATAAAACTCGTCCCAAGAAGAACACAGTAATTAAATAAAATTATTTATTCAACACCAATTTCATTTCTTAACTTTAACCGGTGGGCAAATTTTACTTTGCCAGAGGGCTAAAGTTAGCTTTAAGTAAAAATTGGAAAAAGTTGTCAGATGTCAGTTAAAATATCAAATAAAATTGGCTTTAAAAAGTAAGTTTAGTTGAATAAAATATTGCGTGCGACTATTGGCCAAAGGGGGAGATTTCACTTGCCCGTTACCGCACTCGAGAAATCTCCTCCTTCTTCCACTAGTCGCACAATATCCTATTTATTATTTTATTTTAGAAACTTTACTTACCAATGTACACGTCATTAAATGAAATAATACAATGTCTGTTCACTGCTATTTTTAGACAATAAATTAAAAATAATTTATTTAATAGTAGCCATTTTATTTTACACATTTATTATTTTACATTTTTTAAAATAAGCGTTTATTTACAATAAATTAAATAAATAATTTAGGAAAATTTTATACATTTGGTTATTTTATAACGATTTGTATTTTCTGTAAAGTACGTTAAAAATGCTAGTTTTTAAACTTAATTTGTATGTAGATTATAATCCTATATATAGGAATTTATTTTAAGAGGCAAACCTGCCACCTTATACTTTATATACACACATGGATATATATATATATATATATATATATATATATATATATATACGAGGTATATACTATGTACTTCAATATTTATCAAATTGATGCGTTAAAATAGGCCAGGTTTACATTGGTTTAGTTATTAGCTTAAATCTTTCACAAATATTAACCAATTAAAAAATAAAAGGATTTTAAATCACATTTTGTCAAAAAACTAATATCGTTTTTAACTAAAAAAATTAAAATAAAAATTCTTTTGAGAAAAAATCGATATTAATTTTTTGACAAAACTTTGATGTTTTTTAAAGGTACCAAAACATAAATTAGGACATGATGTACGCCATAAAAATCTGATTTAAAATTGTTTGTTTTCTTTTAATATTTTAATATTAATTACTAAACCACTGTAAACCCTGACCGGTCTACTTTAACGCTCTGTATATACAAAACGCGTCACTTAATTTAATAAATATACCTAGTATATAAATACAACTCTTCCAATTTGGTCAAAATTGCTGATTTCGATGGGGCAGGGTTTGCTTGTTGGTATTTTTAAAAAAGTACGTATTTTTAATGACGATCTCACACAAAACACACAGTTGAGTATTAATATTATTAATAGCTACTCAAAATTTCGGAAAATTTACTGTGAGTAGTACTCACTGAGTACCCAAACTAGTGATAAAGTGTACCCATAAAATATTACCTCTAATTGGCCTAAATTTAGTTTTATATTTTCTAATAAGCCATGATAACTTTCCTGATACAATGCATAGTTTTGCGTAATATTTTAGTAGGTAGGAAATCTTAAAACGGGTTGGCCAAATATTACATATTTTTTTGTTTCAAATCACTTATATAAATCCATTCCAATATTTGGATGCAGTGTAATTATATGTTTAACAACACTAGCTTTATGTTTGGCTTTATAGGAACATTGGGTGCACTTAAAGGCAGGTTCTTTTTGGCATTCGTATTTCTGGTGTCTCCATAAGGATCTAGCTACCTTGTAAATCCTGCCACAAGTATGACATTTGTACTTATACACATATCCTAAAATAAGAATAAATTTAGTAAAAATAAAAATTACCAATACGTTAATATATAAAAAAAAATTCTTGCTACTTGTTATATTATAAAAGATGCCTTTAAAATACAGTTTTAAAACATTAACTTACTGCAGTGGACCTAAATAAAATGCTAATAAATTTAAAGGTACTTATGATTACAACCTTCAGGGGTATGTAAATAAAGGGTTTCAGAGGTTTGTTTGCACACCTAAAAAGATCCAAAACGTTATAATAATTTTAATTAAAAAAAAATTTGGTTGTCAAGTGTAAATGAGGAGCAGACTTCCAGAATGCGTTTTGTCTAAAAAATTTACTCTTGAGGAAAATATGGCTTAATTCTTTTAAAACTAACAGTACCCTGTACATTCTTAATGCGCCTAGCCCTAAATCTCCTGCGAAAGTTGCCCTGGACATTTAGAGTGCATTTTGTGCTATACACATAGACTATCAAAACGGATTTTCTCCTTTTCTACGCCAGTGTTGTTATTGCACACAGTACAATAAAATCACTGGTAAAGTCCTGGGAGCTTGAATTTTGCTCCAAATATATCAGTTACCAGACTTTTGTGTTTCCTAAAAATTATGCAATTTGGAGTCTGCTTCTCCAATACTAACATTAAATTTTAGAAAAGGATTGTGATTTTACGAAGGTTACGTTAAATTTTCTCCTGGAGAAACTCCAGGAAGAGTCCGTAACATAATATGTTACGACCGCTGAGAAGTTTTTTTATGCGGTTTTTTGAAAAGTAAGGTTAATGTGTACCTTTGGAGCGCGTTCGAAATCTTTGGTACCTATATACCTAGAAATATGCAACTGTCAACTGTTCGAAAACAGCAAGTATATGCCCAGAGTGCACTCTCGGTTTTCAAAGCTTGGTTAAGTTTTACCCGTCATGCGCATAGGGTACATCAAACAATAATTTAAATTTACCTTCATATAATTTATTAATGTCCATTTAAAATTTAATAAAAAAAAACGAAAAACATTTAAATAAAAGAATTTATTTAATATAAATTATTTAAAAAATATCAACTCTAAAAAAACAAAAAAAAATACACAAAAACTTGAATAAACTATATAACTAAAGGATTTAAACACAATTATTTAATATTTATATGTAATTAGTCAAATAAAAAGCAAAACCAATTGGTTTTAGAACACTACAACATAAAGTTTATAGGTATATGGAGGTCAGGTATAATGTAAAGTCACGTGATTATATACTTATCCTTATACCATATCCAAAGTAGACTCTCATTTCGAACGCAGTCTTGAAGATAATTTAACAGCTTAAAATTTGGGAAAGAATATTCGTAAAATTCGCTTCTAATAAAAATGTCTTGCGAAATTTCCTCAAACGAAGACAAAACTAAATAAAAATGATATTTTTTATTTAAATACTTTTTATATTTAAAAAGTTGTTGTTGGGAGATATAATAAAAAGTTTCCAAAATTTGCAAAGATGTGTAAGCACCAAAACCTGAGAAAACTTTTTTAGTATACCTGTACCAATTAAGTAATCATTCCTAAATAGTATAACAATATCTAATAGCTATTGTTATACTCTTAGGAATGATTACTAAATTGTGGACAGCTTGGCTATTTTAGGAGTGAGTAATAGTTTGGGCAATATTCCTCAATACAAAGCGATCACTTCCAAAATAGTCAAGGAATAATTTCTAAACAGTATAACGAGGGGTAAACCACTGATTTTTTAAAATTAAAAATCGCTTACTCATTAACGGCTAAGGATAACAATAACAAGGGTAGTCATGCGCAACGCGTCGCTAAGAGATTTCTTATTGATAAGCAGTTTTCCTTATTGATAACGACTGATAAGGAAAAAATCACAACACAGCGTCCACATAACGTTAAACGTTCGTCTCTAGATTTTAAAGTGGTTTACCCCTCGCAGTATAATAATGGCAAATTTTAAAAAAGTTTTCTCCGTGTAATATTGTCAAATATGGACCATATTTTGGGCGAACATGATTTTTTTTACTTTCGGTAAAAAAATTCTTTTATACCTACATGACAAAGAAAGCAGCTACATCAGCTTAATTGGCCATTTTTGCCCTAAATTTATATTTGAAACCCCATTAAAAATGTAAATAACGAATTTATAAGAAATTCAATTCCTTACATGAAAGTTCATAGTTTAGAAGCTATGAATTAGATATTAAACGCGACATTAAAGTAAAATTGTTTATTCGATTTAAAATACAAGAAATAAATACTCAGTGTAACAACAAATATATACAAATTATTTCACTAAAATTTATATTATATGTATGTAATACATTATATCAACTTATATTATTTTATTTTTAGTAATATTGTGGAAGGAAAATCTCTAGAAAAAATATTGCCTTTATTACACAGGCAAAGATTAATATAAACTAGAACTTTTTTTAAGGTTTTAAAATCCGCGACCGA